CTCACGATCAACACACCCTGGGGATTGTTTCAATTTAACAGACTAATTTACGGTATCAACAGCGGATCATCAATTTTTCAATCTGTAATTGACCGCATATTAAGTAATCTCCCCTGGTGTGGAGTCTTTATAGATGACATTGTATTTGGCGACAAAACTATTGATGGAGTCAAACAGAAAACACGTATTGCATTAGGTAAATTAGATTTTCACAGAGGCCAAGTCAACTTGGTCAAAAGTATATTTTATGCACCAGAAATAGAATTATTTGGCCATATTGTAGACTGCGAAGGTATCCGCCCAACATTAGACAAAATCTCAGCTATACTAAACGCTCGTCCACCAAGGAACGTATCCAAACTCAGATCTTATCTAGGTTTAGTTCAATTTTATGCACGTTTCATCCCTAATTTGAGCACGCACTTGAAGCCCTTGCACAAATTGCTAGAAAAAAACACTAAGTTCGATTGGAACTCTCAGTGTGACAAAGCCTTTTCGTACACTAAACAAAAATTAGTTGAAAAACCAGTGCTAACTATCTATGACCCTCAGAAACCTATTTTTGTCTACACCGATGCCTCACCTTATGGAGTAGGCACAGTCATATGTCACCTCATTGCGAATTTTGATAAACCAGTCATGTATGCATCTGCATCCTTAACTCCTTGTCAACAAAAATATGCACAGCTGGACAGAGAAGCTCTCGCTGTAGTCTTTGCAGCTAAGAAATTTCACAAATACCTTTATGGACTACCATTTACGGTGGTCACTGATAATCAACCCCTAAAAAGTCTGTTAAATAAAGGTGTGCCAACTATTGCGTCACCTCGCTTCCAAAGATGGTTCGTAACGCTTAGCGCTTACAACTTTAAAACCATTTATCGTAAAGCATCCTTACTAAAACCAGCTGATGCATTATCCAGACTCCCCGCTGACAATGTAACGATAAAAGAAATTTCTGAAACCATTGAATTGTTACCCGATATTCCTTTAACCCCTGAATTAATTGCTCTAGAAACTAGAAATGAAAACACCCTTAGCACTGTCTTCAATTATGTGTTGCAAGGATGGCCTAGAAATGTCAAAGATGTTAACATTAGACCTTATTTTCTAGTAAGGGAAAGTCTATCGTTGCATGATAATGTCATACTTTTTGGAGATAGAGTTGTTATCCCAAAAAAATTGCAAACTAAGGTCCTTGAAAATTTGCATGATTCTCATCCCGGGATTGTAAGGATGAAATCGCTCGCCAGGAAAAATGTATGGTGGCCAACATTGAATAACGATATTGAAAACAAAATAAAAACTGTGCAGCTTGTCAAATAGTCAATTTCAAACCTGTATCATCCGCCAAAACTTCATGGCCAGAAACTAGTCAACCCTGGCAACGAGTACATTTAGACCATTTTTTTTTTAATAATGAAGTGTATGTAGTACTCGATGATGCATATAGTAAATGGATCGAAGTCTGGCCGGTCTCGTCTACAAATTTTGAATCTCTAGAAGAAAAATTATTAATGCACTTTGCTACCTATGGCCCTATGCTGCAAGTAGTGACGGACAATGGTCTGCCATTTCAATCACAAGAATTCAAAGACTTTTGTACTAAACATTCTATTATTGTCACGAAGTCACCACCTTACCACCCAGCTAGTAACGGCCTAGCCGAAAGAGCGGTCCAAACTGTCAAAGAAGCTTTAGAGAAAATCAAATTAGAAAATTGTAACATTTCAAAAAAAGATCTACTTAAGAAATTATGTAAATTTTTATTCGCATATAGAAACACCCCCATAACTGGAAAAGATGTCAGCCCCTGCGATCTTGTACTTAAACAAACCCCTCGAACAACCCTTAACTTAATACACCCCAAAAAGCAACCCAAAGCCCCTAAATTGCCAAACCTTAGCGTTAACGAAACAGTCCTAGTAAGAATGTCCAAACAGCACCAAGTACAAAAAGGTGTAATTCATAAGCAAATAAGCCCCACAACGTATCTAATTAAAGTCAATGGAGAAATAAAACTTTGTCACTTAAATCAAATCAAGCTCACAACGCTCTCCGACCTAGATTTAAAGCAAAAACCCTCCCTTTATCCTACCGTAGACCCACTAAACCTAGCAATGATGCAATCAAGCGCAAGCACACCTAAGCCGCAAATACAGCTTGCACCGAAAATAACTAATGTCATTAGTCCAAGCTCTCCTGTGAAAAAGCAACAACCTGTTCCTCATACAGGAAATACTCGTAGAGCACTCTCCTTCAACGAGACAAATGCAATACTACCAGGAACCAGTAACTCCCGACAATCTTTAAGGCAAAGCGGTACCCCACAACCCCATAACTCAAGAAAAAGACCCTCAGTACCTCAAAACTCAAATTCTCCTGAATGGCAGAATGAAAGTAATTCAGAGCAACCCTCCTCTTCACGCACCAAAACCCCTGAACCACCTGTCACCCCACCTGCACCTCCGCCGAGGAAATCAAGTAGGGAATCCAAACCACCTATGCGACTAAATTTATAAATTAAGCGAAATTTTGTGAAAAATCTGTTTCTTGTTTTTTTCAATTGACCAGGGAGTGGGTGTTATGTTTGAATTGCCCGCCACACCGGTCGAACCGTTTTAAGCAATGTCGTCTGAATAAATCTCACTTGGTTCGTCATCTCTGCATTCGTTTGTCTCATCTTTTTTTGTCTTCCCGTTTCGAGTCCACCAAATATATCATGTGGCAGGGTAATATTAAGTAGTAGGGTTCAGAAGTTTCACATAGTCTTTGATCTTAATCAATAATACTAATTATTACCATTATTATTATCATTAATATATGTATGGATAATTAATTTAAAAATGCAATTAAATTTAAAATTTATCGTGAATTCTGTTTTTCCCCCTTTATTTTTTATTTAGTTCTTAAACTCTACAAATTATTTCCTGCCAATCATTACGATCTCCTTGAATCGTATTTGGGAGGTAGATCATTTAGAGTTAGGCAGGATGAAGCCTACTCAGGATTCAAACCGATCCTAGCAGGAGTCCCCCAAGGATCAGTCCTAGGACCAGTCCTATTTTTAATATACATGCGAGCGATTTACCCGACGTCGGTGATGTGCTCATTTCCACGTATGCTGATGACACGGCCGGAACAGCAGTAGGTAAGACACTCCGCCAATCCATCAACAAGTTACAAAATGGAGTCGACCAGATAGTCGACTGGAATAAAAAATGGCGATCTGCCCTTAATAGTCAAAAGTCGCAATTTATCGTTTTCACGTACCGCAGGTTACCCAGGTTGGTTCCACCAATCTGGTTGGATGGTAGGCCTGTGGGGTGCTCCGAAGAGGCTAAATATTTGGGTGTGACACTCGATGTCAAGTTGCATTGGGCGGCTCACATCAAAAAAAAAAAGACGAGAGCTCATGATCAAAAATTCCAAACTTAGATGGCTCCTTATAGATGCAATTCCAACCTATCCCTTGACAACAAGGTACTTCTTTATAAGCAGGCCCTCAGGCCAGTGTGGTCCTACGGCTGCCAGCTCTGGGGGTGTGCAGCTAACTCTAATATTAAAATCATCCAGAGGGCTCAGAATTCTGTGCTGCGGCGCGGCGGATGGTGGGGGCGCGATGGTATGTCAGGAACTCTGACATCCACCGGGACCTCGGCATCGCGAGAGCGTCGGCGCAGTAATTTGGCGAACAGCCTCTAGATATGAAGAATACGTCTTTTGGCCCATCCCAACGAGGAAGCCATCAGATTATTGGACAATAGTGAGGAACTGCGGAGGCTTAGAAGGCGCATGCCCTTCGAGCTGGCAACCGTGGTACCCGATTAACCCCCTTACAACATCTTAAAATCCATTAATTGAGGGTGGCTTAAAACTGTAGTGATAAGTCTAGTGTTATATTCTTTTAAGTGTCTTTTATTTTTGTCTGCACAAAGTGTATAATATCCAATCTCACTGATAAAGGTTAGGTTTGCGCTCATCACTTCATGGTGGGTATAACACTGTTCCGGTTGTCCGGGGTCGATCGAACACCGCAGAGACCGGGAACTGTACCGTTCCCCATGGGCTCGGCGATGCTCGTCCCAGGGCATCCAATTTAGAAAAAAAGACTGTACAATTGTAAATATTTTTAGTCGATAAAAGCTATTTACTAATTAATTCTATAACAATGTATCATACTTCTGTATAAAGAAGTCGATATGTAATAAAATAAAATAAAATAAAAAAAAATTATTTAGTTAAGATCCAAAAAGGATGCTAATTTAGAATGTCGAAGACCTGTTGACCACTCTCAAATGCTAATGTGAACTGTTAAAGTGACACCATGTGCAACGTAAAATTGACCGTCGAAGCGGTGAAACGAACATTTGAGAGTTGTGGTAATTTTTAACACTATCTAAGATTATGTTGATTCAACGTACTTTTTTCCGTGTAGTTTTTATGCTATTTCAAGGGAGAAATTGCACAATTTTTATCTGCATGTTCTCAGTGAACATCATTAAGAGAGCCAAATAGAAATTTATTTATATCCTGTGTTCTATTGAGGATGAAAAGTATTAAACAAAATATTTTTGAAACGCCATATGGATGTAAGAGCCGTTTTTAGCACATCCTATGAGCGTACTGTAGTTTTACTTATTTAACGCCAGAGAGTGCTGTGAAATCGGTTTTTATGTATGGTTGGTTGGTTGGTAGATACGTTTATTTGGTGCTTTTAACAATTGAGCCATGGTGCTTTAACAAAGCTGGACCATTAACACCTAGAGCAGATAGTTCAAAAAAGAATAAAAAAAATTATGCATGTATTATCAAGTTATATTAAATTATTTTTTTTGACTGGAATTCTTACTTACTAAATTATAAAAGTAACTTCTGGCGGTGAGTTGTTAATTCCTGAATTAATTTATTACATTCATCAAAAAATCAAAATGCGTGTATTACTTTAACTCAATTTCAATTTACAAATTTGAATGCAATACCGTTCACTTTTTGCCTAGCTTCTGTACTCGGAGCAAGTTCGGGGGTATCCTCAGCTGAGGGAGATCAAACTGGAATGCAATCTTTTCGGTCTGGCGGGTCACTATGTTCTGGCCCTGCGCACCGACATGCATTTTCCGAGCCCTATAATAGCCAGCTCTCGTCAGGATGCGTCGCTAAAGGTAAGAAAATACCATGCAAAGCCACACTTCCATAAGACTCGGATTCGGTGCATCACCATTGCCAAAATGCAGAGATAACGATTTATTTCCCAGAACTGTTTGGGGCTGTAGTCACCCTAAAAACCAATTGTAGAAACAGTTTCTCAGAAGGATAACATCTTATTTTGACTTATTCTGCCGCGCTAAGGAAGAACGCCTTACAGTGGATCGAGTCAACAGGAGAGGTCGGACAAAATTTGGAAACTTTAAACGCTTTTAACTCCGTTCATACAACGCTCTGAGGTTCTCAAAGTGGTTTCATTAGTTTCCTCAAGAAATGCTCTTCTAAAAGCACACCTTAAAATTTAAAATGTGACGAAATAAAAATCAAAATTTGCAGTTTTAGTCAAAAATTTCATGTCCGACCTCACCAATTGACTCGATCCACTGTGGGCCGTATAAAACGCGAGTTCACGTCTTTATTCTTCGATAGATTCATGTCGATCGAATCGACACCGATTTATCGATCGAATCAGTGTCGATTGCTCCACTTTTTATCAGGGCGTATTTATGCTATAGAAGGAACTAGAGACGGTCGGGAAAGATGGAGTGTATCGAAGACACAATGTGAAAGTGGGCGTGATTCCTTTTGGCAAAATGGAAAAGTGGGGATTTACATTGCGTCAAAATATTGCGCCAAAATATAGGTACTAACTCTTGAGCCGTGGGCATTAGAAAAGAGTGTCATTTAAAATTTTCTAAGTAAATCCGTTTTTGACCGAAGGAAAAATGGCAACGCCTGAAGGCCCATACGGCGTACCTCCTTAGCAAGGCGGTACGGGACACGTTCCTCCAGTCTGTCGGATCAACTGCGGATCACCCTGTATGAAACCGGTAGTATCTGTCCGTTCAGCGCGGAAAATTTGAAATTGGCCAATACCATTTCAACATATTGTCCGGCAAACAAGTTAAGAAACGAGACAGCGTTACGTTTTTCCTACCTTCGGCTAGGTTGCTCGCAATCTCCTGAGAAATCAAGTTCTTCTCCTCATCTTTATTCCCGGTGGGAAATGGAAAAGAGAGCAGTTTAGTAGAAACAGCGTAACCAAGTGAACTCTTCACGACTGCTTTTTGTTTCGTCTTCTCCCCGTCCGAGAAGAAGAAGATAAAAATGGAAAGAAGAAGAAGAAGATAGGAATAGGAGGAGGAGAAGGAATGGAAAAATCTGTGATAAGATCACCGTGTTAACACCGTGATACGTAAGATTTTCATTAGGAATTTTGCATCATTATAGTTTTTCAGTGCTAACACTTTTTTTGAACGTGCATATGTTTGGAGACTTAAACGACTAAAGACCTAAACTAGAAAAGGGGAGAAGTGCAAAAATGACCAGAGCGCCTGCAATTTTTAGCATGGAACACGGATGTCCGCAAAGCACGAATAGTTGCATCAAGGCGTTATTGTTGATACGATCGTCTTGTGCTCCGTTATCAGCACTGAAATTACCAGTAAAACACTCGGTTATATCATATTTTTCAGGGCCCGATATCGCAACCGCCACCACTAATATTACAATCAATACTAGAGTGATGAGGGCTAAATTTGGAGGGTATGAATGCGATCGGCATGAATCGGTAGACGTATCTACCGAATGATCAAAAATTGATCGACATGAACTAATCGAAAAATAACAGCGTGAGCCGATCGATGTGATTCGATCGACAGAACTCGATCGATTTACGGGTTTGTCGACCGATTCACGGTTTTCGATCTAATCCGTCGGTCGGTTCACGTTTTAATTTTTCGATCGATTCACGTCGATCAAATAGATACCGATTTTCTTAACATTTATCGCTCGAATAGGTGTCGGTCGGTTCACATATCTATTTTTCGGTCGAATCTATACCCTCCCTTTACGGTTCTCGTCGATGCATGGTTATCGAATTCGTTGAACGGTTCACCGGTTTTTTTTGATAATTTCATTCATGTGTATCCTGTGTGTATCGAATGCATAGCCGCCCCTAATTTTGGTACATTTTTCAGGCAGAATGGAGTGAGAAATTCGTGTTCAACGTGCACGCCCGGAGCATTTTCCCGTGCGACGCCCACGGCGGCGGGGTCTCGGTGCTGTTCCAGTACCCCTCCTGCATCCTGTCCACCGGCGACCGGGTCCGCGTCTTCGCCCGACAGCGCGCCGACGTCTCGGCCATCGTCCCGCCGTCCGTCCTCGAGTACGTCACCGAGCAGAAGATCCTCAAGGGGAAGCACAGCCTCCTCTTCGACTGCGAGCTCTTCACCGAGAAATACGTCGAGTACTGCTTCGTCTACGTCAGCCAGGCACTCACCGGTGCCGTCTCGGACGTCCGCATGGATTGTGTGCCCACCCTTCCCGTTTCTGGTAAGTCACACCCAGTGCTCCCAGTTTCCGCAACTAATTCCGAATTCCGGGACTTTTGAGATTTTCCTGAACTTTTCCCGGAACTTTTGAAATTCCCAAGATGTTCCGGATCTTGTGCATTTTCCGGAACTTTCGAAAAAATCTAAAAGGAATCCCGAAACTTTTGACGGTCATGGAGTGGGAGAAATTGGAACAAAAAAGTTCCGAATCCCGGGACTTTTGACGGACATGGAATGGGAGCCCTGGCCACACCGTCAATGCCGTGTTCAGAGGAAACATCTTCGCACTGCTGGTGTGCCTAGAGTGCCTGCAAGTAGATCGTAGAGAACGGGCATTCGGACAAGTCGAAATATATGGAGCTCTCAGGGCTCAGCGGGCAAATTATTGGAATTGATAGGCAAAGCTATAGACAAAGAAGACAAAAGGGGTCAGGAGGGATCTTTTCGGTGGAAGCAGATGGCTGCAATGGACAAAGGAGGTAGGTCATAGACTAACGAACGGCAACCCATTAGAAAACCTATAGTTATAGTCCATCGTTTTCTTCCTTAGTCAATAGGAAGTGCCCACTTCAACCTTTAGAATCGCTCTATACTCCCTATGTCTTCTGTGTCTATAGCTTTGTCTGTCGATTTTAATAATCACTTACAGAAGGGCAACCAATCTCATAACACCAAGATGGCCAAGTGTGATCGTTTCTACTATACGGCAAAAAATGGGTTTCAACTTGCTGAGTGTTTACCCAGAGAAAAGAAAATTCGAGTGTGGGATCTGAAGTTGAGGTCATATGGATGTAGGTACTTAAATCATAAGGAACATTGTGACGTGATCCCTGTTTTGGATATATTCTTATAGATCTCAGGGCTCATATCAGAATGGATATGCTTCGTTTTATTTTAAATGCGTCCATACGGATTTCTGAAGTTTTTTGATGCGCGATTTCAAAACTTCAGAGATCCATAGATAAGACCTCAAATTCGGCGTTCCTTGACAAAATGTGTTTCTCCGTGTAGAAGGTCCAATTTTTGACGCATTTCACCTGATTTGGATTTGGGAACTTTAATGGGAACACTTTTAATGTCTTTCCTTTTTTCAGAGGGAGACTCGGGGCAATGGGGTCCATGGAGCGAGTGGACTCCCTGTTCGACTACATGTCTCGGTGGCACTCGAAATAGGTATCGCTTCTGTGACAATCCAGCACCTCGATTTGGAGCAAAATTTTGTGAGGTAAGTTCCGACAGCTCTCACTTAGATCGGTGGGGCACAAAACCATGAATTTGACTTGTGAATGAATTTATCCAAGGATAAATTTCGAGCGGAACACGATGCACACGTTCAAAACGGTAGAAAATAGGTAACTTGGAAACTGAAAAATACGCAGTTCAAAGAACGCAATCAACCCCTCCGCAACTTTGGAACGTTCCGCGGACGAGTATAATCAAATAAATGTTGCTCTACCATGTACCTAAGCCCTGCTTTTAAGCCCTTTAGAACGGACACATCAGACGTTTTTGCATTGAATTTGGTGCTGCGCTGAACCGAATGATGTCATCCGACACCAATTAAAATCGAGCACGGATTTCTACGACTTCTGTCAAATGCGTTAGGTACTACCTCTCGCGTGTATAAAAACAATAGGGAAGTCGAAACTGTATCTTCAGAACCAAAGAGTCAAATCTCATTATTATTATCCGTAGTAAGACAAGCAACAATTTTACACCATTTAATACGTCTACTTCAACAAAAATACTGACTGCCGCAGTAGATAACTTCCATCATTTCCCCGCCATGCATTCCGGGGCATCTGATTGTGAGATTCCTTCAAGTCTTTGGACATTTTAAAAGTAGGCTTGATCGGGATTTAAGCTCCAAAAATACGCACTAAATCAGCAAGTAATCTACTTACCTACGGGCTGATTATTGAAATTGATAGAAAAAGCCATAGACAAAGAAGACAAAAGGGATATGGAGAGATACTAATGGTGGAGGCGGTTGGCTGCAATGGACGAATGCGGTAGGTAGGTAATAGACTAACTAACGGCAAACCACGAGAGACCCTATAGTTAGTCCATCATTTTTTCCTTAGTCTTAAGGAACCAGCCATTTTAGCCAATAGGATTACTCCATACTCTCTATGTCTTCTTTGTTTATCAATTTCAATGATCAGCCGGCTGGTGGGTATAGGGACCTACTAAGTATTTGCGTTTTTTTTTTCTAAATCATTGAATTTTTGTTGTAATTAATTTTTGTGTGAATTTTTTTATTCGTTGAAGGGCCACGCCCTGGAGACGGAGCAGTGCGGGGAGGGAACTGGATGGGAGTGCCAGCTGTTCGTAGGTCAAGGGTTCCCGGCGGAGCTGCCAGCGGACCGCGCGGAGATCCGAGCCGAGATCGGTCCCGCTTGTCGCTGCGGATGCGTCATTCACTTGGGGGTTGGCAAACCTCGCCGCCTTCTCGCCAGCTCCTCCCAAAGTTGTCCCGGAAGGACCTTCTGGCTAATTCAAGTTAGTATCCAGATAATCCTAACGTTTTATCTTCATATCCCTCTCTTTTCATTTAAAAACAAACTAACAGATAGACAGACAGACAGACAGACAGACAGACAGACAGACAGACAGACAGACAGACAGACAGACAGACAGACAGACAGACGGACGGGCGGACGGACGGACGGACGGACGGACGGACAGACAGATAGACAGGCGGACGGACGGACGGACGGACAAACAGGCGGACAGACAGACGGACGGACAGACAGATAGACGGACGGACGGACAGATAGACAGACAGACAGACGGACAGACGAACAGACGAACAGACGGACGGACGGACGGACGGACGGACGGACAGACAGATAGACTGCGGATGCGTCATTCACTTGGGGGTTGGCAAACCTCGCCGCCCTCTCGCCAGCTCCTCCCAAAGTTGTCCCGGAAGGACCTTCTGGCTAATTCAAGTTAGTATCCAGATAATCCTAACGTTTTATCTTCATATCCCTCTCTTTTCATTTAAAAACAAACTAACAGATAGACAGACAGACAGACAGACAGACGGACAGACAGATAGACGGACGGACGGACGGACGGACAGACAGACAGACAGACAGACAGACAGATAGACGGACGGACGGACGGACGGACGGACGGACGGACGGACAGACAGACAGACAGACAGACGGACAGACGGACGGACGGACGGACGGACGGACAGACAGACAGACAGACAGACAGACAGCCAGACTCGCACAACGCTGAGTTAACCGCCACAGCAGTTAGCTTTAGGTACATCTTGGCATTGTTTCAGCAACTGCTGTGGCGGTTAACTCAGCGTCTTGTGAGTTGTCGCATACTTTTTCCATCCGGCCAGAATGTTAAATCAACTTCTTTTTTTTTCGGCGATGGACAACTTCTTGAGATGAAGCAAAATTTGCTTCAAGGAGGAGGAAAAATCTCAAAAAATCTCGCACAATGCTCTGAAATCAATAAAAACCAACCAAAATCCCCCTGCTGAAAAGTCAACTCTCAAATGCAGGGGACGACGACCTGTCGACCTCCTTTGTTTTTCCTAATTGACAACCCTGTCCCTTCAACCTGCATTTAATTTTAAAAATGGGACAATCCGATAAAAACTCTACACACACTGTGATCTGCAAACACCGCACATTGCCGAAATATATGATACCCTATCGGTGTTTAGCACGAAGTCTCATTGAGATAAAATGAGGAAATTAGAATTTTCTAAGAAGTCTCCTTTTTGACTGCACAGGCTGATCGGTCAAACGTAGTGATGCTGCTCTTGGAACACTTTCGGCTGACATGCCCATCGCAATGGCTGAAATTCCGGGACGGAGACTCCCTCTCATCCAAACTTTTGACTGTCCTGTCGGGTACTCCTCTTCATGTGGACCCCATCGTTTCCACGGGTCCGTTCTTGCTCCTTGAATTCTTCTCCGATGAACTCGTCGCCACAGGCGAAGAGTGTTGGGGTGGATTTTTGGCTCACGCGGAACAAAAAGGTACTCAAGCAACGATTATTTGGATAGTGATAAGCAACCTTCTCGATGAGAGTCTCGACAAATAATTCATCCCAAGTAGCAGTTTTCAACGGATTGAAATTAAGTTGCGATTTTTTCACGATTTTTCGGTCATAAAATTGCTAGGAATATTACCATCTAGGGACCATCCATAAATTAGGTAAGGCACTTAGGGAGGAGTGGGGTCTCTAACAGCCTCACGGTGCTTTACGAGGGGAGATTGGGGTAGGACTGAGCCTTATGGAAGCTTTCCAGCCCATATTTAAAGAAAATGAAAAAAGTCCATTTTTCGTCAGGTTGATGATGAAAATCAAGATGAAATAGAGGAAATCAGGACATCACCGATATTGCTGACCGATCGGACCATGTCCCTTTCATCCTTATGTCAAAATACTTTTAACTGAGTATTCCAAAGCCAAAAAAAGAAATCTTCAATTTTGCTCTACGTATTTTTGTTTATTAAACTAATTGCATCATTAACATTCTTATGAACTTCCTTCAAAAATTTGGTTCCACTAATCAAATTTTGAGGCCTAAAAATTTCATTATGTTTCTAAAAGAAAACGTAATGCTCAAATCTGCGATAATTGAAAAACACGGGTCAGTCGAGCCTTACGTAACTTTTAGAGGGGGGAACTGATGCCTTACAGTGCCTTACGAGGGGGGGGGGGGGGCTAAAAATGGGAAAAAGTGCCTTACGTAATTCATGGATGGCCCCTTAAGTGATTATCTTCGATTTTGTCCCAATTTCATCTCTATAATTATTATAATAATATATTTTTAATTGTAAATGCACATGACGGCTGGAATGTCAATGTTAATGAGGATAGAGGAAAAAAAGAAAAGAAAAGAAGAAGAAGAAAAATTAAACTAGACTTTTGCTGGATATTCCGCTTCACTATAAACATTTGGCAATAAAGAAATTTTTAAGAGCAATACGAAAATTATTATCCTTATATTTACTTTTTAGAGCCGGGGGGAGCTTCTCAAACAGAATTTGGCCGCGCTTTATACAGTGGCTGTTCTTGGTGGCATTTGTAAAGATTTCGATCGGATGATGAACTTTCTCCAGGATCGTGTTCGATAAAATCGAAATTTTATCTCCTTTCATCAAGATTTTTTGCTCGATTTCATGGCGATAGATCGCCGTCTATAAAATCGCGGCCCATTCTCCGATCATATCGTAAATTATCGCGATCATTTTTACTTGGGATGAATAAAAGTGTATGAGATTGGTGACATAAATCGATGACTAGAGTGCGAAACCGCGTATCCCCGTTTGCAACGTTGCACCTGTCATACTTTTTTTTTTTTTTTTAAACGGAAATTAATCAACTTAAATTATTAAAAAGCGTCATTGATTTTTCCTGTATGTATCAGCGGAATACTTCGTAGAAGTGTCCAGCTATATAGTCGACTTGTTTCTCCTCGAAGATATTAAGTGCGAGCAAAGATTTTGAAACGCTGCAATTCCCAAGTATCAGTGATTGCGATAAATAGCGATTTTATCGGTTGGTTATCGCGATTATATTAGTGGCAATATATCGAGATATTATCGCATTAAAAATTGTGATATATGGCGATTAAATCGTTACACATCGCAATTTTTGGTTCGATAAAATCGTTATCAATTTTCGTCGCTAAAATCGAGATTAAATCGCCATTTATCGCGACTTTTATTTCGAAAATATCGCGATAAATTGTCGGACGATAAAAGCGCGATTTTATCGCGATAAGATCGAGGATAATCACTCAGATGTTGATGACCATGGCGCCGATAAAATCGCAATGTATAGCAATTTTTCGGTTGAGAAATGCTTCTTGGGTTGGATACTTGTACATTTCATAACCATCGATGTATACTTAAGTATCCAAACGTGCGGACTTTTAACAAAATTTAAAATAATTCCCTCGAAACAAATTTTTATTTTACAATCAATTAGTTTAAAACCTCCCTGGAAACTGAGGAAAAATTTTCTTTGAGCCCAAAGTAGCACAGTGCAATAAAAATATTGAAATAAAATTGCGAATTAGTGCAATCAGAGTGCAATTTAATGCAACAAGATTTCAATTTTTTTTACCATGAATTCGCAAGATTTATAAATCATTTGGCCAATAACTGCCGATTTTGAACGATCATTAAGATGAACTCCGTGTGTCAGAGAGATAGGCAAACTGCAATGCGAAGATGAATTGAAACTTATTTCAGTTTTTTTGCAATGAGGCTCTCCTTCAGTTAATAGATACGCAACATACAATGAAGCGATCGGTGCAGGAAGGGCATTTCCGGGTTGCGGTGCCGCAGGATCTCCGTTAACGTCTCATCTACTGTAGGTAATTTAAAGTAAATCCATGAAATTCGGTGAAACTTTTACTGAATTTTTTTATGATTTTACAATGCTGAAAACGAAAAATTTCGGCAAATTAACCCCATCATGTCTCCTCTGAAGTAGTCGAGATTTTGAAATGCCGCAGCCAAGAAATGTCCTTCCTGCAACTAGCGCCTCAATTTTACTACGTAATTGCATTCTATTGAAACACGTGATATTTAGGAGTGTGATATTTCTGTAATTTTCCTAGGGTTTTTCTGATGTTTTCGATATCTTTGTTTCAACCGCGATACAGTTAAAAAACACGGTTACTGACTTGATATTTCAGATCCCAGACTGACACTTGTGAATACGTCGATAAAAGTGAGCATTGTGCCCCGACTGAGCAGCTATTTAAATGAGTTGTATATTTCTCACCTGTTTGTGGCCACACTTCTGGCAATTGTCACGACTGCCTCTCTTTGTCTACTGACTCAATACCTGCGTCGCTACAGCAAGTACCAGAGAGCCGCCGCCATTGAAGAAATGGTCACGGATTTATCTGGTGAGCTCTTTTTCTCTATCTATTTCTATAACGAAAGATGCTTGACACAGAATCAATTATTTTCATTGATTTAGATGCAGGAAAAATAAATTTCCAATTCCTCAGGAAAATGCAAATGAAAATTCAGCCGTTCCGAACTTCTGTTCAAATGAAAATTTTCTGGAAAATTTGAGGGTATTCTTTCTCTTGCAGAAAACCTGCCATAAAAGTGCCCCTCTTTTTTTTGGTTAGAAGATTTCCTTGAAATTCATCCAAAGGGAAACTTCATGATGAGACAAAGTTCCAGTGAAAGTTTTAGCTCGAGTCCAAATCTCATTTTGGCAAAGCAGCGCTGCAAAGTTTTCATTTGTTTTAAAATTTATTGAAATGCAATGCTTCGAAGTTCTGCGGTCAAAGAACAACTCGAATCGATCTTTTTTTTTATGAAACGGGGCACAATTTTATCAGTTGATACTTCCTTGGGGATGAAAAGACTGCCGTTGCAAAGCTTACATATGGTGTCCTCGATCACTCGTGCCTGACTCGCCTGCCCTCAAAGTAGTTTGCCGCAGCGAGAAAACGTCCTTAGAGGATCCAAACGTTGCCAAATTTTTCAGATAAAACGGTAGTTTTCAGGAAATGTCGGGTTCCATTTCCTTCAAATTTTCAGAATCATTAGAATAAATTACACAAAAAATTCTCTTAAAGTTATACAAATAAGAACTAATAAATTTCCCAGGCAATCCGTATTCAATCGGAGGAAATTTGACAACGCTCGAGTGTTCATGTGACGTTTTCTCTCAACGGTTAAATCTTGATAACCGATCCCAAGGCGATATTATCGGTAGGTAATAACGCCCTGATACGACACAACTATTCGCGCTCTACGGACATCCGTGTTGCATGCTATAAATTGAAGGCGCTCCTGTCATTTTAGCCTACGAAGCAGTGCTCGCAGCAACACGCTACTGTACCCCTCTGTGCGGCGGTGAGTTAAAATATCTGATTTGTGAAAATGCTGCAAAAACATCGTTTCCTGTTCTCTTGCCTTACAGTTTTTATCGAAGAATTTCATCCTGCCATATATTTGTAGCGATGCGTGGGCGTGCTGCACAACTTGATGGACAAGGGTGACCGGAGCGCCTTCCATTTTTGCGTATGCAGCACGCGTGTTCATTAAGTACGGATAGTTGTACCAAGGCATAATTATCAACATTATTGAATGCTTTGCTTGAGATATTTGGCATAAGAGGGTTCGTCCTGTCTTGTTTTACCTGAAAGTCCTTTAAGAAATCAAAGAGATCCACAGAATCCGTTAAAATGATATCATAAAAAGGCCAATTAACTTTTGCAAACCTTAAGCTAAAGTCAGTGCCATTACATTGGAAATGGATCCTTAAAAAGGATTATAATGATTTACTACTACTAAAGATACAAAATACAGAAGGAAAAATCGTATGACCTTGGCAAACTTTAAGGTAGCTGTTGTAGGGAGGTTCAAGGAATCCCTCAGAAATGCATTTTGAAAGATAATATACTTAAGATATAGCATACTCAAAAAGAACAATTTTCACGAATCTAGATTGAAACTAACAATATCAATTTGGAGCACACAGAGTCGTGACAGTGTCGCTGCGAGCACTACTCTATGGGCTCGAGCGCCTTCAATTTCTAGTATGCAACACATGTGTCCATCAAGCACGGAAAGGACTACGTGCAAAACGGGCCATTTGGGGCTCGGGGAGGATACCTTTGAGACTTGCCCTATTCATTCACCTAACAAAGCCCCATCTTTCCTCAAAGTTTCAAGCCCCCCAAAAATTTTGGGGAGATGCGGCGGGGGGTCAAAGTTAAAAACCGGCAAAATTTTCGCGAATTTATTACTCAAAAACCAAGAAGTTTTGGAAAACGCGGTTTAAACGAGCGTATTCAGCGTGACGAGAGCTTTCAGAAAATGTATAACATCATAGGGTTTTGTCAACTTCAGCTCGAGTTATCGCCTCCGAAGCGCCGGAACACTAAAAAAAGACCCCTTATTTTTTCACGTTTGGGCCAATTTAAAAAAAAGCCATTTTTTTATTTTGATGAAAAACTGATATGTTGTTCCTGACTCTCTGTAGCCCCTCTAGCTCTTTACCGCATGCTGGGAAAATGTTTTGGTCGCGAGTTATAAGAGCGGAATGGAGCGAAGGTCGGGAAAATCGGCTATTTTAAACTGCGCGCGCGGCGTTGATCGGAGGGAAAACGTCCCCTCCCACTCAGGTCGGCGAATCACACTCCTCTGCCGACCTCGCATTGTTGCCACATGTCTCCTGATCCGTCGCCGCGCGCAGTTTAAAATTGTCGGTTTTCCCGACCTTCGCTCCATTCCGCTCTTATAACTCGCGACCAAAACATTTCCCCAGCTTGCGGTAAAGAGCTAGAGGGGCTACAGAGAGTCAGGAACAACATATCAGTTTTTCATCAAAATAAAAAAATGGCTTTTTTTTAAATTGGCCCAAACGTGAAAAAATAAGGGGTCTTTTTTTAGTGTTCCGGCGCTTCGGAGGCGATAACTCGAGCTGAAGTTGACAAAACCCTATGATGTTATACATTTTCTGAAAGCTCTCGTCACGCTGAATACGCTCGTTTAAACCGCGTTTTCCAAAACTTCTTGGTTTTTGAGTAATAAATTCGCGAAAATTTTGCCGGTTTTTAACTTTGACCCCCCGCCGCATCTCCCCAAAATTTTTGGGGGGCTTGAAACTTTGAGGAAAGATGGGGCTTTGTTAGGTGAATGAATAGGGCAAGTCTCAAAGGTATCCTCCCCGAGCCCCAAATGGCCCGTTTTGCACGTAGTCCTTTGCATCAAAGTGTTATCAGCGATATTATCGTCTTGTGCTCGTTTATATAGGTATTAATGTCGTTTCTTAAAATGCTTCTTTCCTTAGAAGGCCCCGTATGGTACATACATGTGTGATCAAGGAAAGTTCAAGGAGATTATCAGCGTAGCATCATACAAAGGACGATTTTTACAAACCTCTAGTTAAATTCAGCAGTATAACTTCAGGGATGGGTCCTCGAAAGGGATTACAATGATTATTCACCACTACAAAAATGTAAAATATTAGAGAAAATGAATTGCAAGTCTCGTAAATTTGAAAATAGGTTCGCACTAACCTTAAGTTTGTCAAAATCATGAAATTTTTCCTTTCGTATTTTTTATTTTTCAAAGTTGCAAATCATTGTGATCATTTTCAAGAACCCTTCTCGCAGTTATACCTACTGCTGAATGTAACTCGAGGTTTGCGAAATTCGTCCTCATTATGGTGCTACGTTAACAGAAGCGGATCCAGCAGTTTGGCAACAGTGACAATCCCCCATTTAAACCTGTGTAGAATTATCGATTCTTATACCTGATCACTGGTCCCTCCGTGAATGGATACATTTCTATAGGTTTAAAGGAGAGAAAGCAATGTACCCAACTTGCTGGATCCGCTGGTGTATGTTAATGGAACGATTATGAATACCAGTGGCGTCGCGTGAATGATCGATTATCGATATTTCCTCATTTGAATCTGTGGTAAAGAATCGATTACCTATTGAGGTGTTCGCTGCGACCACCCTGTTTATCGATACTTTTCCATACGTTTAAATGGCCGATCAATCGATATGTCGCAAAGCACGCCACGCCATTGGACCAAATCGATGGCCAAAGTGCAAAACCACGTATCTCTGTTTGCAAGATGGCTTGCATCCTCTTGAAAAAATGAAATTGGAGCGGAAATATTGAAACACCGCAAGGGAGCGGTCTGGAGGACAAGGCGAATAAGTGCAGTTTTTGAAAGAATTGAGATAATACTGATTTCAAGTAAAACTAGTCTAAATGCATATTCTGTGAAAAATTTGCTCCCCAATTCCAATTTTTAAGCATCAAAAAGCCAGTGTGAACTTTCTTTTCACCGTAAGGATCCATGTAATTTCGAAATTTGAAACACGTATTTCTCGAAATGGCAAAAACAGCACTTATGCGTCTGTCCTCCAAGCTTCTCAATGGAGATACGTCGTTTTCTAATTCAGACATTGATCAGGAGTTTTTCCTTAGTTGCACATTGTACAACCGCTCCCTTTGAGGCTTCCATCCGAAACAAAGACCATTTTATGAGAAGGAGGTGTCTTTTCGCGGATTGCAATTGTTCTTGGGATCCGAAACTTGACTCGATGGGTTTTTTTCTTCCTTCCAGAGGGTGACGGGAAGAGGGGTGGCTCGAGAGTCGGCGAAGCGGTACACTCATCGACGACCACCCTTTTGTCGGAGGTGATGTCGCTCCACCGCCTCCCGCGAGCCAACAATCACAAGAGGCTCGTGGAAGACGAGACAGAAATCAACGATCCTCCCAAGGCCGACATTTTGAAACGGTGAGGCTTTTTATCTCATTTTCTTCATCCGTATTATCTTATTCATCCTATCCTTCGAGATAGTTTCCCGCAAGGATTCAGAAACTCATCGACCACGTGATCGATGGGTCACGTGCGGAAATGGGGAGGCCCTGGAAACGGGTTTTAAAAATTGGAGGACTGCGGCAACTATGATTGCATACTGCCCGCAAATTTAAATTGACAAGAAAAAGGAAAACCGGAAATAGGAAGGGAAATCCGTTAGTGGAAGTTGAAAATCAGAAATGGGAACTGAAAACCGGAAATCAGAAGTAAAAAATTGAGGCGTATGGTTAAAATCTGAGGTGGAAAGTGAAAACTGGAAGTGAGAAGTGCAAACTGGAAGTTAAAGATGAAACCCTAGAGAGCAGTGTGAACCGGAAATAGGAAGTGAAAGCCCAAAATGGAAGAAAAAACCGGAATTGGAAAGTGAAAACCGGAGGTGGAAGTTGAAAATAAGGTATGGAAAGTAAAAACAGGGAAAAATAAGTGAAAACCTGAACGAGATGGTGAATATCGGAAGTGAAAAGTGGAAACTGGAATAAATTAAAGATGAAATCCGGAAGTGGAAAGTGAAAACTGAAAAGGAAGAGAAACCCGGCAGTTGAAAGTGAGGGCCAGAAATAGAAAGTGGAAACCAAAAGCGGATGGACTGATAAACAATGGCCATAGGATCTGTGTTTCAAACTACCATAGACCTAAAGCCGGCTATAGCAGGGGCGGACTGGCTATGGGGGCGCGGAGGCGATCGGCCCCCTAAGACTTTGCCGCGGAGGTACCGAAGGGACCCCGCGGCGAATTTTTTTCAAGTCATCGTTTTTTCCCCGTAATGTTGTAATTTTTTTATCCTTTTCAATCACTAAAAGGCCCCGAATTCCTTGAAAATTTGTCTCTAAGAGACATGGAAGGTCGCCAAAAGCATTTGTGATGAAGGGACCCCTGACGAATCCTGAGAATGGGTTATTTTGAAGTTCAAGTACTGCAGAATCAAACTCCAATAATGCCTACGTGTTTAAAAAGTGTGAAAGTTTCAAAAGTTACCGGGGGAGGGCCCCCGGACGACAGGAGGGGCCCTTATATTTAGGTCTCCTCCTAACTTTTCGACTACCAGTCCGCCCCTGTGTGCCGCTACTGCAGTTTTGACCGTTAAGGCCGTAGTTTAAGGGCGCTAAAGCCAGGATTGTATTTCGCGAACAGATAATTTTTGCAGAATAATTAAAAATTAAGAAGCAGGAGTAATTCAACTAAATAATAAACGGAACTCCAATGTACAGTATAATACAAAACAATTTTGAAAATCTCGTCATGTAAATACAGAAGATTCGAAAACGCCTTCAATTGAAGCGTGATACCTCACGCGTTCAGGAGAGTTCAAATAGTTGTATACCTGCACCATAGCAAGGGGATGGAAGTTTAATATTGAAGTAGCGTCCCCGCGTTGTTTTTCGGTTTTCCTGTGCCGCTACTGTAGTTTCGACCGTTCAGGCCATAGTTTAAGAGCGCGAAAGCCAGGATTGTGTTTCGCAAAACGAAACTTTCACCAGAATAATTAAAAATTAAGAAACAGGAATATTTTAACTAAATAATAAAAGGAACTCAAATCTACAATATAATGGAAAAAATTTGGAAAATCTCGTCATGTAAATACAGAAGATTCGAAAACGCCTTCAAGTGAGGCGTCATACCTCACGCGTTCCGGAGAGTTCAAATAGTTGTATCCCTGCGCCTTAGCAAGGCGATTGAAGTTTAATATTGAAGTAGCGTCCCCGCTTGGTTTTTCGGCTTTCCTGTACTGGCTACAGGATGTCTTACAGCTTCAATATCTGGCTACACAATTTCTTATAGCCTTTCATAGCTGATGGCGATAAACTGTATTACCCGGCGATAGAAACTACTAGCCCGGCTATATATCTTTTTAGCTTCGTATAGCCCGATTCCATGATTTTCTCCGCTTTCTATAGCCAGGTATATGATTTTCAATGGTATTTTTCGCCGCAGCTTCCATGGTCAATTTTACCTGGGGACGGAATCTTTTTCCTCTAAAGCTAACAATTCTTTGTTGTGAAATGAACAACCATTAAAACTTTCGGGTCTCTTTTAAGAAATCAATAAACTTGCACTGCAATAAGTTGAATCACTTCTGCTAATCTTGATCCTTTTAAGTCATCAATTTTTTTAACCGAGGGCAGCCCAGTAAAGACTTGAAGAGCGCTTTGCTAACACAAGAGCCTCAATAACGCATTGAAACACATCACCTTACAAGGCTGTGCTAACTTAATGAGAATAGTCGAGGGCCATATAAGTTCGGATGTGACTTGCTTTACGACTGGTGTAATGTCAAGCATTTGACCAATGACCAAAAGGATTACATTTTGAAAATAGGAACCACTATCTCTGGCTCTCCTATAAAAGCACATATCTGCATAAGGTTACCAATGGCTTGTATGTTGTTTCTAAAATGGGCCAGAAAAAGTGGTTCCTTACTGGGAACTGTAATCCAAATGCATCATAACCTTCATTAGAAGCTTCCCCAATGGATTGTAATATTTTCTAATTGGGTCCACTTGTATAGATTGAGGTAAAAAATACATAATAAACATATTACCATAAATGACGAAATTAAATATGGATGGATACCATATGTATACGAGATGCAAAAAAAAGTACCTACTTGCTCAGCAGCAGTGCCGGATTTAGGGGGTGGCGGTGGCCACATGGGCCGCGGCCCATGGCAGCAAATTCAGGGGGCGGCAAATGTTGCAATTTTTTCAAATGTATAAGGTATCAAAAACTAAAATGGATTCAGAAATAAAAATTACAAACGAGAAAGGCGAAAACCTCTTTTATTTCCTGAGAGTATAATAATTTCTAATTTGTTCGTCTTTCGGCGATGCAAGAGACAGAGCCTTTCATAAGTCTAGTTGAGAAAAGAACCAAACACGCAATTTGGCCTGGAGCGGCGCGGCGCAGAGAGCAATGATGAGGAGGACTTGAGATGAAAAGGAGAAGCCCTCAGCGCGCCGATCAGCATGTAACACATATTAGCGCCTAGAAAACACCACGAATATTTCAGGCATTGCGTCAAACGTAGTGCGGTCAGCAGCGGTTGGCGTAAAACTCATGGTGCCTACATAATCCCGGAGCACATGTAGTCCCGTGCGACCGTTAATGATACAAGTTGGCGAGATGGCTTGAACTCTTCGTATTGATGTCCTGAAACAGAATTTCGATGTTGCCAGGCTCAAATTTCCCCGGAACACCATTATATTCAAGATGGCGCCCAAAATGGCCGCCATGGGGCGAAGTGGGTGAAAGTGACTCATGTTCTGGAGTCCCTTTATACCCAGAGTTAAGACAACTCACTTTTGGTTGGGCTGAAAGTGGCCTAAAAAAAAATCCAATTCTGATTGGTTCTCGTTCATGGAGGCCGAAACGAGTGCACCAAGATGGCGGTACCTCGAATGTGAACAAGAATAATGAAAATATTACCTAATTGTGGTTTATCAAGAGTAAATTGTTATTTCCATCGGTCTAAAATGAAAATAGATTAAGAAATTATTCACAAACCAATCTAATTTTCGTTTTAATTGATCAATTTGTTGATGTTGTTGTTTTTGTGTGACAGACATCGCAGGATTCCTGATCCTTATCCCTCATTATCGTTCGTTTAGGTGCACTCGTTTCGGCCTCCATGGCCAGCTAAGGCCGGCTGCCAGTCAGCTGATAATCGAGTTGTCTTAACTCTGGGTATAAAGGGACTCTATCATGTTCAACATGTGTGTCGATTCCTTTGTTTTTTTGGTCGAAAAGTTCAAATTAGAGCTTAAAAAAGTACTCCGACATCTTAAAGACCCTTAAATCCAAGATAGCGGCCAAATTCCGCCTCCTGAAAGTCAAACGGGCACGTGTGCTCCTATATGGCATGTGAGGTATCCTTCATACCATGTTTTGGGCCGTAAAATCGAAATGTGATGTTGAAAAATCCTTTGCGCCTCATTGAAGGCCTCAAACTCCAAGATGGCGGCCAAAATTGCTGAGATTTGGAACCATAAATTCTATAAAAGCTTCTCATATCATGTGACGTATCGAACTCCATAGGTTTCTGGTCGTAGAATCCAAATCTTGAATTCAAAATTCACCCCGGCCCTTGAGAAGTCCAAAATCCAAGATGGCCGCCGAAATTATCCCTTACAGGGTCATACAGTCTGTTCAATTACATTTTAAGGGCGGAGCTGATAAATTGCTGTTTCACAGGATTAAATCAAGTTTGGAACGATTGACACAGGTTTTCTACAAATAGGTGAATCGTAAATCAGGGCTTATTCATTAGAATAAGCGATGACGTTAGCAGTTGTGATTAATTTTTTGAACGTGTAAAATTGAAACATTTCTTAAATCCACACGCTTCACGCCTTTTAGCCGCAATTCTCAAAACTAAAATGTCGCAAATTGTAAAAGGAAGGTTACTTTAACCTTCATTCATGAATTTTACGACCAAATAATCCTGTAAATGGATATATATCTTGCTATTCTAAGGTCAAGGCTGACTGAATGATCTTGTAAGGCATGAATTCGGCGACCATCTTGGATTTTGGACTTCCTAAGGGGCCGGGGTGAATTTTGAATTCAAGATTTGGATTCTACGACCAGAAATCAATGGGGTTCGATACGTCACATGATATGAGGAGCTATTATAGAATTTATGGTTTCAAAATTCAGCAGTTTTGGCCGCCATCTTGGAGTTTGAGGCCTTCAATGAAGCGCAAAGGCTTTTTTAACATCATATTTCGATTTACGGCCCAAAAAAGGTATGAAGGATACCTCACATGCCATAAAAGAGCCCACGTGCCCGTTTGATTGTCGGGAGGCGGAGTTTGGCCGCCATCTTGGATTTAAGGGTCTTTAAGATGTCGGAGTACTTTTTTAAGCACATATTTGAACTTTTCGACCAAAAATACAAAGGAATCAACATACCCGTCGACCATAGGAGTCACTTTCATCCGCTTCACTCCCGTGGCGGCCATTTTGGGCGCCATCTTGAATTGAAGGGTATTCCGGGGAAAATTGAGCCTGGCAACATCGAAATTCTGTTTCAGGACATCAAAACTGAGAGATCAAGCCATCTCGCCAACTTGTATCATTAACGGTCCCACAGGACCCCAAAAATGAACATGTGCTCCCGGACCAACAAGACTGCATGAATACTTCACACATTGTGCCAAATACAATGCGGTTGGTGCGGTGACAGAAATTAAAATTATTAAACCACATTCATGTTTGTTCGTTCATGCCTTATAAATGAAAGGCCTTGTCCCACAGAAATAGGTTTACGGAAGTTACTTTTCGCGCAAAGTTCCGTGAAGTTCTGCTAGTCTTGACAGGGCTTTCACAAAAAATATGCCCAACACGAGTAAACGCGTCTTATGCACCCCTCCCCCTCCGGCACGTTCACTGTGTGGTTTGTATCGATATTTCAAAACGAATGAGAAGGGGCGGAAAAATACAGGCGGCCCGTGGGCGGCAAGTAGGTAAATCCGGCCCTGCTCAGGCTCAGCAGTATACAAGATGAGAGTGAAAGAAATATTTTCTCACATGATTATGTGAGTGTTGTTTTATGAAGCACGAGATCAACCATTATTCTCCTAAAATAATTTTTTATTTCTGAGACGTTTTTCTTTAATTCATCCTTGGATATTTTTACAGGTCGGTGCCTCATCAAATTTTGGATTTTGCCAGCAAATCACCGTTGACCTCTGTCCAGAGAAAAATCCAAAAACCTAGATCCAACATGTCCATAAATTCTTCCTCAAAAAGTTGCAATATAGTAAAAGAGGTTAGTAGTTGAATATATTCATCGCAGCTTCATTGCTGTATACCTAGAGTAGTTCTCTGAAGAAATGTTCAACTTCGATGAAAGCTTATGAAAATACTAGCCGTTCTGGACGCGCTTTGCGCGTCCGTCACGGCCAGCCAAGGGGCTGCGCCCCCTGGACCTCCGATCACTCGCTACGCGAGTGACATTCGGCTCGCTCCGCGAGCCATTTTTCTCAGTGATTGGACATCTGATCACTAAGATGTATACATTTTGGAGACTCTGGAGGCAAAAATGATTTCGTCACAGAACCTTGTTGCCAGAGCGTGCCATCATTTGCACATGAGTAGATGTGTGGAGATGAAGCGATGATGGGGATCGATCATTTCTTCAAAAACGCATTTAACTGGGACGTCATCCCTTGGCAGAAAAAGACAATCCATGGATCTCCTTTCGTGATTTGACTCGCTGAGTAGCAAAAGTTCATCTTTACCTCTTAAGAAGATTATCGGTGGCGTAGGGGTCTAAAAACTGCTCAACGATAGTATAGTTCGAGTTCCGAATCGCAATGAGCCCACTCGTGTTTTTTTCTTATATTTTCATCGCATTTAAATTTCTCTGATGTTTCGTTTTATTCTCTCTAATTGCAAATTAGTTATCATATTCTCAGTTCATTTCCTTTCCCTTTCATTTTTCCTTTTCTGTAGCATCTTGGTCCATTTACAATTATTATTTTAAAATAGCTTTCCCCTAGTATACAATTGATGCTTCAAACGGAATCAATTGTTTTAATGACATTTCCGGCTAAATTATGGGTTTTCCCAGGAAGGCAGCCTCTTGTCCCTCCCGGACTCTACTCTTGCCAGATAAGTTGTTTTTTTAACACTTTTCCCCAATTCAAATCCATGTAAAATATTCACATTTATCGTACAATCTGGCAACCTCTCGAGTGAAATAGAAAAAGGTAGAATCGCTGAAAGTCTGAATCCTTCGAAGTTTATATTAATGACTAGCCGTTACGGCCAGCCAAGGGGCTGTGCCCCTTGGGCCCCCGCTCACTCGCTACGCGAGTGACATTCGGCTCGCTCCGCGAGCCATTTTTCTCGGTGATTTGACATTTGATCACTAAGATTTATACATTTTGGAGACTCTGGAGGCAAAAATGATTTCGTCACAGAACCTTGTTGCAGGAGTGTGCCATCATTTGCACATGAATAGATGTGCGGAGATGAAGCGATGATGGGGATCGATCATTTCTTCAAAAGCGCATTTGACTGGGACGTCATCCCATCGGGTGGCGGAAAAGGACAATCCATGGATCTCCTTCCGCGATTTGACTTGCTGACGTAGCAAAAGTTCATCTTTACCTCTTAAGAAGATTATCGGTGGCGTAGGGGTCTAAAAACTGCTCAACGATAGTATAGTTCGAGTTCCGAATCGCTATGAGCCCACTTGTGTTTTTATCTTATACTTTCATTGCATATAAATTTCTCTGATGTTTTTGTTTTATTCTCTCTGATTGCATAAGTAATCATATTCTCATTTCATTTCCTTCCCCTTGCATTTTTTCCTTTTTTGTAGCATCTGGTTCCATTTACAATTGGATTGCATTTTGCAAAAAGGAACCAAGAGCATTCCAATGTTGCTAGGATTGTGCAACTTTACATTCTTTGCAACACAATTACTGAAGTCATGCAAAAAATTAAATTCACAAAGGTAATTTTCCTCGTGAATTTATAGTTTATTGAGAGTAGATATGAATCCTCTTTACATGATCAGTTTATATTTGCAAGGTAAACAAAGTTGCACAAGCTTAGTGACACTAAAATTTTCTTGGTTTTTTTTTTTGCAAAATGCAATCCAATTATTATTTAAAAACAGCTTTCCCTTGTATACATTTGATGCTTCAAACGGAACCAATTTGTTTTTAATTACATTTCCGGCTAAATCATGGGTTTTCCCAGCAGGTAGCCTTTCGCCCCTCCCAGACTCTACTGTTGCCATATAAAGGTGCTTTTTCAGCACTTTTCCCAGTTCAAACCCATGTAAAATATTCACATTCATCGCACAACCTGGCAACCCCTCGAGTGAAATAGAAAAAGGTGGACTCCTTCCACTCTTATATTAATGATGATATTGCACATTTAAAAGTCAGTGCCTGAAAAATTGCAATACTCGCTCATCGTAATAATTTCAATTTGAGGCAATAAGAGGAAATTACAGGTTTTTCATCCCGCAACCGAAAAATTTTATTGCGACCGATTTCCCATTTATTCAAATTATTTGCGATTATTTTAAAAATCGCTATTATCGCCGCGCCTTCAAATAGAAGAGTAGGCAAATGGCGAAACTTGCCCCAACGTCACGAGTCTTGGACACTTGTCTTTGAGTCTTAGACATTAGTCACGAGTCTTTGAGTCTTCGGATACTGTGAAAGCAGGCTTATCAGGAATCTTATGCTCCAAAAATACGCAATAAATTACCACGTAATCTACTCACCTGGTACTTTCAGAATAATAATTGAAAAACACAAGATTTAGCGATACCCACTCTGCAGAAAAACCTGTGAACAGTAGGATGTATTTTCGTCAAACGGAACTAAGCGCCATAGGGGGAGGAAGGCAGAGGGGGGCTTGGATTGGTGGCGGAACCGGGCGTCGGGCTCATTCCCAAGTAGCAGTGATCGCGATAAATTGCGATTTAATTGGAGAATGTATCGCGATTTTATCGACGTCGCGATTTATTGCAATATTATCGGGAGAAAAATCGCGATATTATCGAACGCGATTTTATAGAGATAAAATTGCAATAAATTGCAATTTTTCATTAACGCATGAATGACGCATATGAAAGATGTTTCTATTCCGCCGCCGCCGTTTTTACCGAGATCCGTTGGTAACTTAACCATCTCATTTTTTTTTATCAATTATTAGTATAATGTTACAAAGACACACTGGTAAGCTTACCTGAAAACCGGTATTTTTACTGATTTTTTCAGGTAAGAATGCCACTTTTATTGGTAATCAATCCCCGGTAACTTTACCATTTTATCCCGGTAATTCTACCACAGTCGATAAAAACTATTGGCGTTTTTC